ATTTCAGTATCAGCAATAGCTTTTCCTTGACACTAATGAATCTGATGACAAACGATTCCAGTTAGTCGCTTTGTATTGGCGGAACCTGTGCAGATGGATGCGCGGAAATGACACGCTGCACTGCGTTTCCGGGCTAAATGGGCTTCTTTCCTTTGCCAGTCAAAGACACGCATTTTGTGCGATGCAAAATGACTCTGGAGGTGCCTCTTAAGCACAAATGTTCTTGCCAATACGTCAGTGATCCCATCAGGAGATTAAGCCGAAGCAACAGCCGCAGCCATTTCATAACTTCAATATCATTTAAAGCCATCTGCCCACGTGCTTGTTCCGCTCGCCATTCACGACACCATAAAGAGCTTAATTGTGATCTAAAAATCTGATCAACGATAATAAGACATTCCTATTCCGAGGAGGTGGAAAAATCATGGCCCCGGGTTTCATTCAGCGAAGGCTTTAATTGCTCTTTTACGACTCCCAGGGGCAATTTACATTTTAGACCCAGATTCACTCTTGTATTCATTTTCCGCCCCCATCTGATTCCCCATATGAATTCTTATTTTTACGCGGCGCGGGAGGGCTTTTGTCATTTTTAATTGCAGTAATCTAATTAAATTGGCAGCGATTTTTATTTCAGCCGTGAGTGTTATTGTGCTCGAACAAAGAAAACACTCCTCATTTTACCAGCTCGACTTGACCTGAAATGAAAACATCCCAGTCGGTCCCCAAGCCGGCAGACATGCGTACGTCGGGCGTCCTCAATTACCCCGCTACCGCCGTCCTCAAATAAACGAGGGGCTCTCACACCGCTGACGGCGCAGCCTGCCCGCGTCGCCAAGGCCAGCGGCGTTCACACTTCACACGCACTGCCGCACTGCTGCCGGCTCAGTCTGTCCACGACACCAGGGCCAGCGGCGTTCACACTTCACACGCACTGCCGCGCTGCCGGCGGCTCAGTCTGCCCGCGACACCAGGACACCAGGGCTCAGTCTGTCCGCGTCACCAAGGCCAGCGGCGTTCACACTTCACACACACTGCCGCACTGCTGGCGGCTCAGTCTGTCCACGTCACCAGGGCCAGCGGCGTTCACACTTCACACGCACTGCCGCACTGCTGACGGCTCAGTCTGTCCGCGTCGCCAGGGCCAGCGGCGTTCACACTTCACACACACTGCCACACTGCTGGCGGCTCGGTCTGCCCGCGACACCAGGGCACCAGGGCTCAGTCTGTCCGCGTCACCAGGGCCAGCGGCTCTCACACTTCACACACACTGCCGTCGCCTCATCACACGCACACGACACGCAGCGTTGGCCGAAGTCGGTCTGATCGATGCCGGCTGTGCGTGCGGGCTGTTGAGGTGCTGACTGGTGACCCAGGCCACCACGAGCGCATCGGTGGTCACTTCGATCGCGAGCCTCGGCCGGGGGTCGGCGCAAGGCTCTGTGGACGGAGAACGGCCCATTTACTCAGGGGCTCCGACTGCTGCTGGACACGGCTGGTGCGACAGTTGGACATATGGAGTCTAGGAATGCCGTTTGAATTTCATTTTCCGCACGGGAAGGCTTTGCCAATATTTGGTGAATTACCTTGTCTCTTATTAGCACAGGTTTTCTCGGGCAGGAGATCAAGAGTCAAGAAGCATGTTATAACGAGATCTACGTCTCGTTAGATGTAGATCCACGAGATCTACATCTCTTTATAGGTCTATTTCTCTCGTCATAGCACGCAAGGATGCTTTAACGAGATCTGCATTGGAACGTGGCGGCCACGTCGCTTTTATTAAACACTTGTCATCGTCAGAGCTACAGCACTCTTCTAATGAACTTCACAAAAGCTAGCTTCACGAGTAAAGCATTTCTCAACGTCAAACGGCTCCATCTGCCGCTATCAGCTCCAGTCAAACTTGTCCAATGCAAAATAGGCAAACTTCGTATCTTCGTCTTATCGCCCCCGCTCGCACATCGCAATAAACTTTAATCCAGTTTGGCACCGTTTACGAAGCCATCGTTCAATCTGCATTTGCATTCATCGAAAGACTGTCATTCCAAATTTTGAATAACACCGTAAACTGTTTAAAAACGTCGGCCTGTTTTACATACTGGCGTCATTTGAATATAGAGATGGTGGCGGGATTACGTACGCCTCTGAACGTCTAATCCTGTATAATGGAGAGATCGACGGCGGCGTGCGCCGCCGCCACCGCCGCCTGCCAATATTTGCATTTTTATTAAAGCCTTTCCACCTTCGAATCAAATATGGTCCATGTGTAATGATGAGTGATGATTTTTCCGACTCATGCTAATTATTAGCGGTAACTGTGGCGCGTGCCGCGCCTGGCAAGCGTCCCGGCCCCGTCCGCAGTCCGTAGTCCGCAGTCCGGAGGGCGTTCCGGCTGTCTGCAGTGCGTACACGGTCCTTCGCAGTCCGGAGGGCGTTCCGGCTGTCTGCAGTGCGTGCACGGTCCTTCGCAGTCCGGCCCAGCAGCCTGCCGACGGCGGCTCCGGCCCGCAGCGCGTGACCCCCCCCCCCCTCGTCCGTTTGACGCCTGGGGGGAGGGGATCGTGGTGTCTGGAAGGTCAGATGGTCCTGCACATCCCCGCCTCGCACCGCGAGGGAGACGGCACCGACGTCCGTTCAGGAGAATGCAAGCCTCCTGTTCATGTCTGAGTGGCCGGGGTTCCGCCCGGTAGACTGGCCGGAGCCCGTCTTCAGTGCTGCCAGAGCCTGTACCGCGGCTGATGGCCGGCTCGGCTAGCCGGTGCAGTACTGAGTCTGGCTCAGGTCAACGATCGAATCGCTTGTGCAATCAATGCCCTGTCGCGCTGGTTAAGGCGCTGTCGTGCGAGCACACACACTCGCAATCTCACCCGCCGTCGCAAGGGTCCTTCAGCGAGCCTAATGCGCGTCTTGTGTCCCCACCCATTGTCCTGACACTGACGCTGAGTTGGCGTACAGTGGCCATGATATCCAGCCTAGAAAGCTTGACATCATAAAGGTTTTGCGCTTCACATGCGTGCAAAGTGAAATGAGCCTGTGTGAAATGAACACGCGATCATGGCAGATCCAAGGGAGGAGATTGGAGCTTGTTTGAGCTCGGCTGGTTTATGCGATAGGTGGTGCTGAACTCGGTACTCGGCCCCCAAGAGCTAATTTTAGAATCGTAACTGCTGCGGCACACATACAGTAAATACAATACACATTTAGATTGGTCCAGCCTGTTCGAAATTGAAGTTGAAATACGCATACGTTGTTTTTGACATTTGACCGAAGTGAGCCGCGTGTCGGTATCAATGAGCCCAGCCATTTGAAATTGTCCTTTGCTCGCTCCGTCTATCCATCAGTGGTAAGTTAGTGGAATTCTCACTGGACGTAAAATTGGTTTTCATACAGTGCAGGTGCCGGTTTTGTTCAGCTGACAAGCTTTCTCAATAATTTCCGTTTTGCGCCATGAAGATGGGCACCAGAAGACTGATTCTGACAGCAACAAATTGCTTACATCAGGTGATATGAGAGGGAATCTAATGTCTAATGACTGGAGCTAAATTTGGCTTTGTTCTACATATCAGACGCTGAGTGCTTCTCCGTTATCAGAGTATGAAACGCTACCAGTCGCAATTAATGATCGATGCGATCTCCCCGCAGTTCTCCGATAGCAGATCAAAGAATTCCTCTCCGCGTCTCCCAGCGTGATGTAATGAGAAGGTAAACGCATCGCCCAGCCCCCATTCGACGGGCCGCGGCGATTTCTGTGCGTCCGCGCGCCGCAATCGCCGCGGCCGCTAATGAGCGCCGTTTGCGGCGCGGCTCGCTGCCGGTGCACAATGCGGCGCGGCCGGCGCTGCGACCGCCGTATCAATTTGTCGGCGACGCGCTTCTGAGGCACCGCCACATTGTCGGCGCCCATTGTCGGCGGCGGCGGCGGCGGACCCCCTGCCGACAAGTTGTCTTGTAATTCGCCACGCGGGCCGGGGGGCCGCGGCAGCCGGCGACACCGCGCCGCCCGCCGCGCCGCCCGTGCCAACGGCTACTGGGCCGCGTGCGCGGCCTCCACGCGGCTGTGTGCAGAGCCGGCGCGTGCCAGCTCCGAGCAGGGACCAGTAGCGTGCGTCGGGTTTCGCGTTTGGAGCCGGGACGGCTTCAGTGCGCTGCTTTGCTGCCGGTGCATTGTCGGAGCTCCGGGGACACTGCCTCGTGCTGGCTGGAGCGCGGGCTGCGCACCGTCCGGGCCGTTTCGGTCGAACGCATTTGTACGGGCGTGGTGGATAGCAGGGAATGTTGACGAGATTTGCACGAACGGTCCCGTGCAGCATAAAACGAACGACGCCGTACAAATAAGACGACTTCAGGGGGCTGTCCGCTGTCACACCGAGCACGTGCGCACCCGCGAGCTGTTTTACGGCTGCGAAATAGCACTTGGCCCGCACAAGTGGCGAGGAACGTCTTAATCGGCTGCGGCCGGTATCATTTTAATGAGCGGCCGCATAAAACATCGGCCCAGTTAATTGCTTATCAACAAGCGGCGCAGCGTTCTGGGCCGGCCGCGAAGGCCAATAGAACGACTCATCGCTAGCCTGTGCAGGCGACGCCTTTGTTCCGCAGACAGAGGCTGCATTATTTCTCTGAAGACAAATACTGAGCGGCCATTGGTGGAGGCGGCGTCTCTGCCGCGAGCTGACGTTCCCCATATGGTTTATAATAACATGTCTCTGGCGCGTAATTACATGCTGACAACAAAATATGGCGGGAGAAACTATTCGGCCGGATTCACGACGGCTCACTCGCGGCTGCGGGTGTTACCTGCTGCAGACCGTCGGAGTCGTAATGATGACGGCTGCACGGCACTCAAGGATCGGGAACTGCAACGCGCGGCCGTGCCGGCCGATAACACCGACGACTTGAACGCCGTGTCTCTGGCCAAGACGCTAGCTGGGCCGCGGGGCGGGGCGGGGCGCGGCGCGGCGGGGCGGACGGCCGCGCCTGATCAACGCTTTGCTTCGCTGCAGGCTGAAGGACCAGCGAGGCGAGATCGACCGGCAGACGAGCGGTCTCGACGCCCGGCCGCGTGACCTCAGCATGAACAACAGTGAGTGCTCCTCGGGTGGCGGTGGCGTTGGCTGGCGTGTCGCGGCACCGCCGGTGTTTGGGCGTAGCGTAGCACGACAGTACCCCAGCTTGCGCTGCGTGTGCTGCCTGTGAGGACATGTCTGTTGTAACGATTTGTGTTAAAAGTAGATGTCGCCTTATGGTCTTTTTGTGTGCTAAGCACACAATTGAGTCACGGTTCATTAACTACAGGTTACGTGTATGCCTTCAGCCATGTGGATGAAGGGAAAGAGGGCTAGGAGTTCGTGTCCAGCCCCTCTGTGCCCGACCGGGCCTGGGCTTCCCTGCCTGACCCTTCTCCTCCTGAGAGGTGGCACAGGGGCCACTGCGTTCCCGTTCCCGTGACCCCGAGCCCCCGAGCGGTGACCTCGGGCCGTGCGTGACCGTGACCCGGCCGGTGGCAGGTTCGCCGAACGGTCACAGTCCGGTGCTGAACCTGTCCAAGTCCGCCGACGGCACCAACTCGGACGGTCCAGGCCTCCAACCGCGACGAGGACGACGAGGACGACGACGAGCGACTCAGCGAGCCCAACGACCCCGACGACAAGGAGCCCGATGGTACGTCGGCTGGCCGCATTCCAGCCCATCCGGGCCCGCCGGCGCGCGGTCGGAGCTGGCGTCGGGCGCTTTCATTGCAGGTCCTGCCGGTGCTAAGGTGGTTCAATGGCCGCACGTACAGGAATATCAAGAGAATCCCACATGCCTAGGGGCTTGTGGGAAGGAGACAGCTAGTTGTATAGTTGTTGAGCTTTAAGAGCGTGTTAGCTGCCTTGGTTCTTTGCGCTCATGGGAGACGGGGAGGGGGGGGGGGCGAGAAAAAGGAGGGCTAAGGCAAGAATATGCGATGCCAGCCATAGCAATGATTGATGACGGCTTAAAACATTATCCCTCGCTCCGGAAGCGCGCATATTGTCGTGTGATCCCCAACGTGAACCCACGGTACTTTGATCGCTGCAGTTTGCTGGCTTGTAATTCTCCCGCAACATGAAACTGCAAGCTTGCGTTCTATGCTGCTTAAATTCAAACCCTGCTCGGGTTACGCCTCGGTCCGAACGCATTATCAGTGCAGTCTCATCGACCGTCTCCAAATCATCCCATCAGTCTCAGTCGCCGGTCGCTCGCCCTCATCGCCTCCCTCGTGTACCCTGCAGAGCTGAGCGACACCGAGGTGGGGACGCACGAGGCGCCGCTGTCCGCGCCGCGAGCCGAGTGCTCGCGGGCGCCGGAGGAGCGGCCGCAGCTGCTGCCGGCAGCTGTCAGCTGGCCCGGCCAGCTGGTGGCCGACCCGGCGCTCAGCAGCACCGAGACGCTGCTGCGCAATATCCAGGGCCTGCTGAAGGTGGCCGCTGACAACGCTCGCCAGCAGGAGCGGCAGATCAACTACGAGAAAGGTGGGTCGCCGAGCGCGGCGGCAGATCGGCTACGGGGGGGGGGGGGGGGGGGGGGCGGACGCCCACCAGCAGATCAACTGCGGGGGAGGGGGTCATCAGATCATTGCCCTATCACCAGATCATTTAAGAGCAGGGCGTGGGTCGCGCCAGAGAAATGGTGGGGCAAGGAAGTGGGGGAGGAGGTTGGAAAAGGCAGCTGACCAGGAGAACAATGGTGGCTTAGCTCGCCTAGCAACGATTTAGTTCGTAGAAATGTGACTGTGTCTCGCAAGGTATAGATCAGCTAGGAGGAAGGTGGATGGGTCCCGCCCAGCTTTATATCAGCTAGAAGGAGAGAAGGTGGGTCTGTTGAACGATAAATCAAGTAGGAGGAAAGTGGGCGGGCTTCGCAGAGCGGTGATCAACCAAGGGTGCTGCAGGGCTCGTCTGGCGGGTGCTAGATTAACCGCAAGAGCAGAAAGCAACAGAAGGCGCAGCGGCCCCGTAAATATTTATGTTCGTTAGGAGCAGGCGAGCCGCGGCACCAGCCAAGTCGAACAGCCCGCTGACAGTGACGGCCGACCTGGGGATCGCACGGCCGCCCTCAGAGGCCGCCGAGCGGTCGGCGGCCTCGGGCCCCTCAGTCGTCACGCGGCGAGGCCTCTCGGGGCACCAGCTTACCCTCCGTAGGAAAGCCTTTCTTTCTTCTTTTCTTTTTGGCCAAGGTTGTCTGTTGCACCACTCTGAAGCGCGGCTGTAGACAGCCGTTGCGTCTCAGGCGCGATGTGGGAATAGTTTTCAGTTTAGTGCGTGTGCGGAGGGGATGGGGCTGCACCTAAAAGTTCTTGATCACCCTTCAACTTACTCTCAACGCCTTTGCAAATCGGCACCTCAATTTCGCTGAGTTTTATTACCGCCTTGTTTTTGCATGGCTAGATTTTTCGATATGAGGCATCCTCAGGCCATGCTAAGATCTCTTTGACAAAAATTCACCGACGGGCACAGGTGCCACAGTGGTAATCACACGCACCTCTCAGACTGACGGCGAACGTCTGCCTGATCGGAATCCTACGGCCTCCCCCAAGCGCCGCCGTTGTCGGCCACCCAATCGCGCTGCTCCGCTAGTGTTGTGTTGCCGTCCCTGCATAATCACCGGGAAAATGCCAATAAGAGCTTACCATCAAAATGCAAAATGCCCGCTCGCTTATCCGCGGTCGGCCGGCCGCATATTAAGCGCGCCATTGGGAGGTGTTGGCGCGCCGCTGAGACAGACGGCCGGGCCATCGCGGCCAGCACGAGCTGACACCCTCGCGACCCTCTTGCAGCCGAACTCAAGATGGGCGTGCTCAGGGAGAAGGAGACGCGCGAGAGCATGGAGCGCAAGCTGCAGGAGGAGCAGAAGCTCAGAGGTGAGACGTCGACGAGGTGGCCCCTCGGGGCCCGGTGCGGCCCTTCTTTTGGTGCTGGTCTCGTGGTGGTTGGGGCTCTCGCATGCGCTTCTCGTCTACCGTGAACGATGTGACGGCGCTGTTGGCGTGGCTGAAAATATTTGGGTCTCACTGTTGCAGCTGTTCGGGCGTCAGTGACGCAGTTGGCAGCATATCAGGATTGTGATGTTGAGGCTGGGATTGAACACCGCCCACGCCGTACATCTTAGGTTGACTTCGACAGCTCTTCGCTGCTTTTTAATTGACATCACCTGAATAAGCTACCTGGCAGTTGGTGTAGCAGCTGCTGCCGAGATAAGCGGTTCGACTCATCAATGGGCAGGACATACTTCTGATACGCTAGTACAAACGGGTAGGAACGTTTCAAAAATTGACAAACCATATTGCTATTTAAAATCAATTATTTCAATCATCGATATCTATTCATTTATATATATATATATATATATATATATATATATATATATATATATATATATATATATGTATATATATATATGACATCGGAAGTTGAAGAGGTGTGATGTCAATTTTCACGATCAGAAGGCAACTGCGCCAAGCATCTTACCTTGCCACTTACTCTAAAGACTAAACTTGAAACTTAACTTATTAGGGCTATGCGACATAGCACGCGCGACTGCACCACGGCTCAGTTCAAACACAAAAATACGACAATGGCCGAGTTATGTCGCTTTTACCAGGGAGCGTAAGCGACCATTTGATGCAGATATCTAATTTTCCGAGATGTGGTTCACCCGTCTGTAGTCCGGACTTGCGCTCCCAGCTGAAGCTGTCCGCTGTCGGTCGGCGCAGCTCGCGAACTGGGCGGGACTGGATCGACAGCCGGGCCCCTCGAGCGATCCCAGCTGCGCCGGAGCGGGGTGAGGCGACACCGAGCCAATGTAGCGCAGCCACTGCGCGTTAGCGCCGCTCGCCGGCAGCCCAAGACAATTTGGAGCTGACAAGCCGCCGTCCCCGGCGCCCAGGTGCCCTGTACCGGCAAACAAACAGCTAATATCACCATCTATCATCGCGTGGCGCAACTAAACTATCACAACATAGTAGCTGCTATTCCACTCTTGGGTAATAATTAAATCCACCGTTGTCATAAAGCCCCGACATTAATTTCCTGGACGCCTCACCTTAATTGCGTCTCGACACAGCAATAAATAACGGCTCGCCCATCCGTATTTACATTTCATTTTGGCCACGGCGCGGCTGTTTTAAACGATTTCGTTTGTTTGCCGTACTCTCGAGCTTGTTGCCAGCTAATTGCTCAATGTTTGCCTGCCGTGCACAATTCTCAGCGCTTTCCGTTCGCGTTGTGAACCGCCCACGGGCCGAAAATGGGGCGCTATATTTGCTGGCCATGATAAAATACCCACTAAAACGTCGTTACATGATGTAATTGTATATGTTCGGGGCTCGCGAGCTCTTGCAGCAATTGCAGCTAAATTTGATCGTCCTTGAAACGAGCCGATGATGGAAAGATTAGCTTTACGTTGCATTGCTCATGGTTCTAAAGTATGGCAGTAAGCCATGTTTCATTTACCATCTGTTTCCTCCGCCTCACAAGTTCCGGGATCTAAACTTCCTCCCTATCTGATTAAAAATGATGCGTTTGATTTCCCGCCGAGGCACTCTTATTTACCCGTGCTATGTTTGTGCTGCGTTGGGCTGTCATGAAATATTCCACTATTTACTTTACTTGATATTAATTGCCATTTTTGCACCATTAGGGAATTGCAGCATGCCGTGCACGTAATTTAATTGTAGTGCAATCTACATTTATCATGAACGCTTTTACAATAGATCTGAATAGCGTCACGGAACAGTGACCCCGCTTAACAAATGCCACAAAAATGCCCAAATGAGTCATGACACTGCGCGGAAGTACCGAAAGCTTACCCGCGTGCATTCGCGCAATCATTAGGCACGGGGCAATGTTCACCTCGTTAGAGGGTTTTTTTCAATTGGTGCACCTCATGCGCCGCGTGCAGGCGAAAATGACAAAAACGTAAACACGAGCGCTTTGCGGGGGTATCACACGATGAATAGTCACGCGACCCTTTCAAAGGCGGAAACAGAGTGCAAAGGCTGAAACGAGCGGCCAGCGAGCTCGCCGTAAGGCGGAGGCACGGCAAACAGTTTAAGAGAGCCCTAATCGCGCTGTCTGGCTGGGTGTTGAGTGCTTAATTCAGTCGCCTTTCGGGTGGTAACAAATTAATTATCGGATCGATGTATCGACGCGTTTCCGGCTGCGGCCGCGCGCCAGGGGCCGTGGCGTCGTCGGTCCGGAGTCCGGACCGGCTGCGGCCACGCGCCGGGGGCCGTGGCGTCGTCGGTCCGGCGTCCGGACCGGCTGCGGCCACGCGCCGGGGGGCCGTGGCGTCGTCGGTCCGGAGTCCGGACCGGCTGCGGCCACGCGCCGGGGGGCCGTGGCGTCGTCGGTCCGGAGTCCGGGCCGTCGGCGGGCGCGGCGGCGGCGCGCGCGGCAAGAGGGCCGGACAGGAATAGCGCCCGCTTGAAACAGAGCCGCCTCAATATTTACCACGCGCGCATCAACAATGATCTCTGTCGTCTACGGAAAACTAAGTGCTGCCAGCCGTGTGATAAAGACGCCGCCCGGTCTTTCGGCCGCGATTTCACAAAGGGAAAGTATGGCGTGTTTGTTTTCAAGCGCTTCTGAATGGAAGGAAAATATTTGCAATGGTTAAAGCGAATCCCTGTTTGCAATTTAGCCGGATCGCAGACGTCACATTCTTAGCGTTTATGTAGTCCCTACGCCTAATAAAAACATCTGCTCACCCTCATTCAGGCGGAGCCTGGGAGGCAAAGCACCTCGAAATCCGTCGGCGAATGCGAGCTTGACTCCGAACAAATAAACACCCACACAGCACAGACGTCGGCAACCGTGCGTCTGGGTGTCGAACATGACCGCTCACAACGCGACGATGCCGCCACACTCCCTGCGTCTTGCAGAGGGCGTGCGCGCGCGACCCGTTACCGGCTGGCCGGCTGGGCTCGCCACGGCGTCCATTTCCGCGTCCGTGGGTTTCTCAGCTGCAAATTACCTGGAGCCCGCCATCCGTCGTCTGCGCCGCTGTAGTCATCGCACTGATGACTATCATTCAGCAGTTTGTTTCATTTTAATCTCCATCAATACAGCAATCGATCATATTCAAGTCAAATTTCGCCCGAGTCGATACGGAGTACGCGGCGGGGTGTCGGCAGTCTAATTGGCCCGGCCCGACGATAGAGGTCTCGCGTTTCGCCCGCCCGGCCCCACGGCGGAAGAGGGTCGTGCGAGGGCTCCGGCTCCGGCTCCGGTTCCGGCTCCGGCTCCGGCTCCGGCTCCTGCTCCTGCTCCGGCTCCGGCTCTGGCTACCAGTACAGAACCTTTGAAGGCGGGGGGGGAGGGGGGGGGGGGGGCAGCCAGACTAGGATTGGCCTTCAGATGACAAAAATGCCCTCGCGGTGTTCGCAGAACCACCACTCAAAATGTTTCAGGGTCAAAACGACAGGTATTATTCAAAATGGCCATAGGTTCATCAGCATAAGATGGAATGTTCCTCCTGGGTTTCTATTCCAAGGTACTAGGGCCGAGAAGTTTTTTGTTGTAGCACGCAGTCATTGTAAAGCCACATATTTTTAGTCTGCTGTAGGGCATGACGTTGCTACACAGTGTTACACCAAGAACTGTGACATGCTACACTGCATTAGCTAAACAGAACACGAACGGCCATACGATTTTGTTTTCTAAATTCTCACCCAATTTTCAGTTTCCAGAACATAAGGGCTGTAAGCATATCGGCACACAAGACAGACGTGAGAAACTTTCCGACAGGAGAGGTTTAACATGTCGGATGCGATTGACTATTTTGATGTTTCGAACAGATTGATTTCATCAGTTACGAAGAAGATTCATCACGGTGCCAGCCAGACTGCTGGCGGCTACAAACTTTCGGATTTGTGAAATATTCCATTCTCTCTGCCGTCATAATTAAACGGGAGATTAAATAGTTCGAAAAGCGGTCCTGATAAGTATTGAAAGAAATTCCAAATATCTGTCGGTTCCTTTTGTTTTCAGTGAATTTATTAAAACTTAAGACACAATGTGAATGGATGGGAAAAAGACCTCAAATCTAACAGAAAGAAATGTTCATAAATCTTTCCAGCGCCGCGATGATTTACGATGCATTTAATTACCGAATCTATTAGCTTTCTGTATTGATTTTTCCCAGCGCTCAGTCCAGCCCTCTCTTGCCCTTAAGAAACTCGAACCGGGCCGTGGCGGGGAAGTGCATGGTCGACTCAGGCCCGACGTGCCGTGCCCGACGCTCGCCGACGTGCCGTCACGTCGCCCGCGACTGAAGCGCCTGAGGTGCCGCCGCCGACGTCCACGCGCTCGGCGGGAGGGCACGGGCCGGTTAGCAGCTGCTCACGCGGCCCCGTCGCCCTCAGAGCGGAGACGAGCCCCTTATGCTCACCGACTGCGCTGAATCTTGAGCACTTGGAGCGGCGCTCCGGTGTCCCCACCAGCGCGGCGTGATTGATGAGGCGGCGGGCGGGGAGTGCGCCACACTTCCGTGACGTGTGCAGCGTTGAATGAGCTGACACTGTGGTGCTGGTAGAGCGTTGAGCGAGTGATTGTCGGCAGTGGATCTCGTGTATTATGGACTCTATTGAGAAAGCCGCGCAGGCCTATCTTTCGATCGTTCAAACTCAAACGGGCGTCCTCTCTTTGTGGCGTTATTGGATCTCTGTCCGATCAAGTCAGCTGTGCGCGGCGAACTGATGAGTGTCTAGCCACCCAGCCTGCGAGAGCATGAGCTGACCAGCCGCCCAGGCTGCAAGAGCATGAGTTGACCAGCCACCTAGGCTGCAAGAGCATGAGTTGACCAGCCGCCCAGGCTGCAAGAGCATGAGCTGATCAGCCGCCCAGGCTGCAAGAGCATGAGTTGACCAAACACGGCGAGACTTACCGACTCGGATGGCTGACAATGGCGGTTGATCGTCATGATCCGCCATATTTGATGCAGTAAAGCGCTATGAAATATGGATGTGTATCTCCCTATCTCAGTGAAGGCCATACGATTCATGATGCTCGCGAGTACTATCAAAACGGCCGGACCGAACAGGTGCAGCGGCTGTAACAGCGCTCAAGCTCCCAAACGAGCTGTTCGTGTACTGGAACTACTCCAAAACAGTGACGAGAACCGAATGTTCCTTTCTCTGATACCACAATATATCATCGCGATGGATTGTATTTTGGCACCGAACGGGCTCCAGGCATGCCCAATGTGACCTTATTCAAGCATTCCGCGTGCGCTATCATTGCTCCACCATCTGAGTGGGCAAGACAATTGGCTTCTCTCGACGCTGCAAAGCTAACTGAGGGAACATCCAATGCAACCGAGAGGCGTTTTTGCGGGGCGCGAAAGCGAGCTTGCGTCTTTTGCTTTGTCTACTGCCCGTCAGTGGTCAAGTCGCTCCCTATTCAGACCTTGCACGTGCCTACCATGGTATCTCTAATCTAAACGTAACAAGCATTTAAAGTAAGGCATTCAGCTTTTAATACTTTTTAACTACGATCTAGCATTAATTTGCGTCATGTGCATGAGATGACTTCATTTTGACATTTAGTGCACTAGATACAGCACATGAACAAAAACGTTAACGCCTTAGGTGGATGGAAGACCACGTTGCTCACGAGCTACGTCACAAAATATAATTGGATTGCTCAAGCACAGTCCAAAAACTGCAGCTGTCGGCATGATCGCAATCATTAAAGCATTTCTTTGGTTACTTATAAACTTTGAAGAAACCTCCATACCGGAGACATCCTGAGAGAAAACTAGCCATTTTCGGCCACTTTCTTCCTGCTCTGCTTCGTGCTCCCTCTGCATAGCCAGTAATTTGAATGTTTGACACAGTGACTCCATTCATGTACTGCACCCGCTTAGGGGATTAGACCCCATGGAGACATTGTTTCGCATATGAGTTGCTTTGACATGGTTGATCATGAGTGCACGCTTACAAAGCTTCGGCATCCCTGACCCATGTGACACTTTTCCTAACCGCCAGCCGTTCACACTTAACACTAGGAATGCTTCTGCGTCGTTTTGAGTTTGGTGTAGGATCTGTCGTGGACAACCTCGTGCCAGCATCAAGGCAGCGAAACACTGCATATTGTATGTCCTCGCGTAACGATATTTGCTAGCTTGCTCACACCTGTTTCCGTTGAAAATCTGCCTTTTATGTTATAACGCGGCATAGTTCTGCTCAGCAATAGTTTGGGCGCAAAATGGCCGCGGTTGTCGAATCACCTTCAACCCTCAATAACAAGTGTTGTAAATCTGCTTTCTAAGGTTACAGTTCCTACTCGTTTCTAAATCTCAAGTCGAAACACCTTGTTTGGTAGACGCATCCCCTTTAAAGCAGGATTTCCGACCTTAACGTCTCACAGCCAACTCTGGCGCCACTGCGCCACCGCCACGTGTCAGGAGTGCGAGGCTCGCGGTGTATATAGCACGGCTGCGCCATTTTCAGTGATGTACCAGCGTCGCCTGAAGAAGGAGCGGCGCTTCCGGCGCAAACTGCAGGAGCAGCTGGGCCACGAGGCCAAGCGGCGTGGCCAGTACGAGGACGCAATCAGGAGCGCCCCGACCGACGCCTTCCTTGGCATGCAAGGTACGTCACTGATCTACCGTCACGACATCTGGTGACGTCACTGGTGCGCAACGCTGCCGCTCAGGCGTAGTGGAAGGATGGGACCGTGTTATTGTGTGTTTGTGGACTCATATTCGGGGCATTATTCGTAGCTCATTGCTTGTTTTTACGCTTATATTGCATTTTTGGTGGCACAATTTGTTTGGTCCTTGGCATTTGTTTTGTTACGGTACTTTCGCGCCCTAACAGGAAGGAATTGGCTTGAGTTTTTGTGCAGCACGCAATCAAATTGAAGATGATTTAGCACCAATGAGCAGCCTAAGTTTACTTCTGTCAATGCAGGCGACAGCTTAACTAAACGAACAGCTTCTCAGCCCGAACAGATGGGGAACAACAGAATGTTATCACATTTGCCGTGGAACCTCCAACTCACCGCGCTCCGAGGCTGTGTCATATGCTGGGGTGTCGTTCTTTCGGTTGGGGAGAGGGGCTGAGCCAATAAAGTTGAACCAACCTTCCCTCAAATCCTAATTTCTCTCCGGATTTCGGCCACTTTGATTTGTGTCCCTGATGTCAGCATTAAAATACAAACATATTTAGTCAGCTCCAAAATTCTTCGGATGTTGACGAATAGCTTCCTTTTTGAAGCCGATATTGTAGTGATAATGGTGCTATATGTTGATGATCATGATAGAGATAGTGATGCGGTTTGGACCTGGCGTACCACAATTCAGACACTTGCTGCATTTCATCTGCCCAGTATTCCGTTTTTGCCCATATGCCTATGGGAGGGGGGGGGGGGGGGGAGCTCAGAAGAGCATTGGGCCGGCTCAAATCAGCATCGGGGGAAGCGGGTTCAGATCCCCGAAAGTAAGCAAAGTGACAATTTTCTGTGCCGTGTTAAACGAGATATTCCATGTTTTAAACAGAGCATGATGGTCTGTTGATTTCGTTAATGGCCTGCACAATAGCTGCAGTAAATGAAGCATCCATACCTGGGCGTATTATACATTCGGTTGGTTTTGCTCACAGTGTGACCCCAAAGCGACATAAATTGCTGCTGTGTTTTATGTAAACTTTGTTGTCATGATATGTTCAAGCAATACCACTAGTTTATTACAATAATGAAAACAACAACAAGATGTTCAAACAATAGCAATTAAACAACAACAATAGCTTATTACATCCGACTTTCCCGCGCTCTTCAAGGGCGCATCTGATGCTCAGGCACGCATTCCCAGGCATGCCTCCTTAATGAAATGTCTTGTGTGTGTCTTCATGTCATGTCTTCATACACTCCAGAAATCAGCATCAAATCACCACATCCTCCGACTGCGCGTTGCCAGACGCTCTCCCTGCTCGTGCGTGGTCGTCCTTTCCCAGGGCTGCCGGCGCCGTACTCTGGCGACCGGCGCTATATTTAGCCCAGCGGCCGGCCGGGCTTGGCACCTCTCCCGATAGCGTGCCGGCCGCGTCAGGCGGCACCAAATCCCGATGTAGTTCCGGCCCGGCCATATTTTTTTGGTTTCACCCGCTCGAACATGCGCGCAGCGGGCCTTTGTTAGTGGTGCTGTACGGCTTCGTCATTCCTACAATACGGTGCCGAAATCCCCCCATTCAGTCACGAAAGCGGGGGATTACCGATCGTCGCCGAGCGCGCGCCGCCGACGTCAGGTCTCTGCTTGCCGGCGGCAGCATTTGGCGGGTTTCCGGAGGTTTTGCAAGGGCTATCAATCGGGGCCCTGAATGTTAAGCGCGGAGTTTGGGCCGGCAACGTGGCATTGCAGCTTCTGCGGCACGTGTCAGGTTATGGGGCCGTGGGGTTAGATGTGGATGAATTTGCAAACATCGATCTAAGCCCACCCGCCTGCTGACAAGTGCATCAAATGCACGTTCCCTGTTCCACCGGCCGACACCCGCCATCCTCGGGCGTCGGTTTGGCGCGCCGGCCGCTGTTTGGCGCGCCTCCCGGTGTTTGTCGCGCTGGCCAGTGCCGCTGGTTTATGTTTGTCGCTGCGAGTGGCGCGCGGTCTCGGCGACCACTGACGGACGACCATTTAAACCGCGACACCGTCACATCTGCGGCCGTAAAATCGCCCCTTAAAGACTCGTCCCGACGCTGCGGCCACCTGGGAGGGATAGCGGTCGCCTCGTTTACTTTCGGCGCTGTTTTATGTGCGCCGGCTCGTCGTCCCGCCGGCGGACCGCTCTCCCAGTGGTCGCCGCCCCATCCGACGGCTGGCCCTGCTCCTCTCATCCGCCAGAGATAGCATTCTGAGGGTGACGCGCTCTGATTCACGCGTGCCGACTGGCTGCGAGGCGGTCAGCGGTGGTCCGAAGCGTGGCGACTGACTGCGAGGCGGTCAGCAGCGGTTCGAAGCGTGCCGACTGGCTGCGAGGCGGTCAGCGGCGGTTCGAAGCGTGGCGACTGAACTCTCAAGTCAGCGAACGCGGGTCGCCGACTGGACACGGTTCGTACACTTTGCCTGACGACTGGACGCCGGGCAGGGTCCGAACGCCGTCCACGTGTGCCGATAGACCCAGCTGAGCGTATGAAGATAGCCGAGGGACCTAGCGCCGTCGTCGGGCAGGGGGCGCCGATTTCTTACCCTCTGCCACGGGTTCCCTGCTCGGCAGATCACCGCTCTCCACGGCCGAACCGCCACCGCCGAGCCACCGTTGAGTGGTTCAGTAATTGCCGGGGCTCTCGGTGCCGGTATCATCTAAGGTCATTAGCGTCACAACCGTTCGCACGGGTCGAACCGGCACCGGTGCACCAGACCGCGCTCTGCCGCGGTCCGCGAGAGGCCTCGAATCGGGTCCGGCGGGTCGGCGGGCAGGGGAGTCCTCGAACGGTGGTCCGGCGGGTAGGCGGGCAGGCGAGTTCTCGACTCGGGTCCGGCGGGTCGGCGGGCAGGGGAGTCCTCGAACGGTGGTCCGGCGGGTCGGCGGGCAGGGTAGTCCTCGGACGACGGTCCGAAGGGTCGGCGGGCTGGGGAGTCTTCGGACGATGGTCCGGCGGGTCGGCGTGCTGGGGGAGTCCTCGAACGGTGGCCCGGCGGGTCGGCGGGCTGGGGGAGCCCTCGAACGGTGGCCCGGCGGGTCGGCGGGCAGGGGAGTCTTCTGACGGTGGTCCGGCGGGTCAGCGGGCAGGGGAGTCTTCTGACGGTGGTCCGGTGGGTCAGCGGGCAGGGGAGTCTTCTGACGGTGGTCTGGCAGGTCGGCGGGCAGGGGAGTCTTCTGACGATGGCGATGGCCGCAGCAGAGACCGTCTCACGAGCCTCACGAGAGGCTTCAAACGAAGCTCCGAAACGACGCCTGACGCTCACTGGAAACCGAATGGGTGTGAGGGCGGCGACGCCACTGCATCCGTCAGAGCAGGGAGGCGAGCGGCGGGAGGCAGGACGACGCAGAGAGCGATCAGCGAGCCCGCAAAGCCGATCACCGATGTCGCCACCTCGCCGCGCGCCGGTCGCGGGCGGCTGGTGGCGAGCGCGGCGCGGCGCGGTGCCGGCGCGCGGCGGAACGGCGCGCCATTGTTCGCCGCAGCGGGCCGGCGCGATCGAGCCGCCCAAATCGTCACGTCCTTCGGTCCGGATTGTTTCCAATGATTGAGCCCTGGCAGGGCACTTAGCTCCATATAGCAGGTCATTTGTCGGACAATGGCGGAAACATTTGGCGCCGCGCACGCCGATTGGCTGGCCGGTGGCGCGCCGCGGCGGCAGTCAGCTGACTGCGGGCCGCCGCCCGCCGCCGCCGCGAGGCGGCGGCCTCGTCCGCGGCCCATGCGGGTGCCGGCGGCAAGCGCGGACGCGGCGTCCATGCCGCATGCGATTCATGGCGTCCTAGGCCCGTGTGGACCCTGACATCCATGCCTCGTGCAGCATGCATCTGGGCCCAAGTGCCTATCACACTCTAATCCACGCCCTGATCTGACCTGGTGATCTAATCTCTGTGAGTTTCGTGATTTAACGCACTCGCGGCACCGTTATTGTTATAAGAATGTGTCGAAACCCGATTCATAAAAAAGATTGCAGGCGTCCTCCTCGTTCGCTAAACGTGCCTTGTTAGCTGGATGGACTCCGCTGTATATGTCTAGACTGGGCCACTGGGCTAGCTCGCGAGTGGTTGGCCTTTTCGGCTCAAATGCTTCCTTCATTGACGTGGCTAGTTGCTTCATTTTCAACCTGGGAGTCGTGTGATGCGAACATCCCACACTAAAAAGTAATATTATAGCCATGCAATTAGAACCAATGTTTTCATAGCTGCTTTTCCATACACCATACGTGCGCCCAGCATACCAGTCCGCAAAAAGCACGTCCTGCGCCAGGCAGAGGCCTTCGCGGACATGGTTCCCACCGATATGGGCGCACCTGAAGTCACCTCAGGGCACACGGCGTCAAGGGTGCACGTCCCGCTCCAGAGGGACGTCCGAGGTGGTCCCTGTCCGGCGTCCGCGGCCGCCCAAGGCACGTCCCGCTCCAGAGGGACGTCCGAGGTGGTCCCTGTCCGGCGTCCGCGGCCGCCCAAGGCACGTCCCGCTCCAGAGGGACGTCCGAGGTGGCCCCTGTCCGGTGTCCGTGGCCGCCCAAGGCTGGCGCCGCTTCAGAGGGACGTCCGAGGTGGTCCCTGTCCGGCGTCCGTGGCCGCCCAAGGCTGGCGCCGCTTCAGAGGGACGTCCGAGGTGGCCCCTGTCCGGCGTCCGCGGCCGCCCAAGGCACGTCCCGCTCCAGAGGGACGTCCGAGGTAGTCCCTGTCCGGCGTCCGCGGCCGCCCAAGGCTGGCGCCGCTTCAGAGGGACGCCCGAGGTGGCCCCTGTCCGGCGTCCGCGGCCGCCCAAGGCACGTCCCGCTCCAGAGGGACGTCCGAGGTGGCCCCTGTCCGGCGTCCGCGGCCGCCCAAGGCTGGCGCTGCTTCAGAGGGACGTCCGAGGTGGTCCCTGTCCGGCGTCCGTGGCCGCCCAAGGCTGGCGCCGCTTCAGAGGGACGCCCGAGGTGGCCCCTGTCCGGCGTCCGCGGCCGCCCAAGGCACGTCCCGCTCCAGAGGGACGTCCGAGGTGGCCCCTGTCCGGCGTCCGCGGCCGCCCAAGGCTGGCGCCGCTTCAGAGGGACGTCCGAGGTGGCCCCTGTCCGGCGTCCGTGGCCGCCCAAGGCTGGCGCCGCTTCAGAGGGACGTCCGAGGTGGTCCCTGTCCGGCGTCCGTGGCCGCCCAAGGCTGGCGCCGCTTCAGAGGGACGTCCGAGGTGGCCCCTGTCCGGCGTCCGTGGCCGCCCAAGGCTGGCGCCGCTTCAGAGGGACGTCCGAGGTGGTCCCTGTCCGGCGTCCGCGGCCGCCCAAGGCTGGCGCCGCTTCAGAGGGACGTCCGAGGTGGCCCCTGTCCGGCGTCCGTGGCCGCCCAAGGCTGGCGCCGCTTCAGAGGGACGTCCGAGGTGGCCCCTGTCCGGCGTCCGCGGCCGCCCAAGGCTGGCGCCGCTGGCCCGACTGATGTCCCGTCCCCGGGACGCTGCCCGCCTTTTCAGTCCCAATCTCCTATAGCTAACCGATTACGCTCGTCCCTAGCACCAAACATGAAAAATGCCGCCAAACCCTTTTGTTATGGTAGAAATAAACCGTATTTCATTTGTGCGGTGCCGCGTGCTCCGCCGCCCGTGAAATTGGGCAAAATCACAACCGACGTGGCACAACTCCGACCTAATCTGTTTCGAAAGCCATAAAAATACTAACTCAGCTGGCGGCGCCGTGATCTATCAAGCGAAAGAGAAAAATATGTACTTTATAGACAACAGGAGGCCATATTTTCCGGCCGATGCCCGGCCAATATCAGAATCGGCCGGCCAAATTGGCGGCGGGCCCGGCTCGGCGCGTGGGGACAGCGTCCGCTACAATGAAGATTCAATATCAATTTAAATGAAATACGGGCCTGCATGAATATAAATGGAGTGTTATAAGAATGGCGGAAGTGATCTTGAGCCGGCTGTATCTGGTCCGACCAGATAATGCGGCCCATACTTTGCACACCGAGCTCATCGTGTAAGTGGAGGCTGCGAAACGATGTGCGATGCGCGGCCGTCTCGACCGGCCGCTGCGCGGTCTGGCAATGGTTCGGGAACGATGGCCAGAACACCGAGGGAAATTTCTGAGAGCGCTTTCTGCGGGAGGTCTGAAGGCTTGAGAGGAGGGAGGGGGGGGGGGGGAACTGAAGCTAGCGGGGCCTGTTGCCGTGTAAATTAGTGAAAAATCGAGAGGGGATGAGGTGTCTTAGACGGCTAATGACCAATACGCCATCGCTAGGCGGTGAGGTAGTAGAAATTTCTCATCTTTTTGCTTGGCTTTAAAAAAAGGCAGCATTCAAAACTCGGTCAGCTCCGGTGTTTTGTGCCGACTCCGCCTCGGCCTTAGAATCGGGTATTAGGGGTTCGACCACCCCACATATGATCGCCAATGTTTTTAAGTAGAGTTCAGAACAAAATAGTAGGCTTAAACGGGTGGAAGCCTCCGTGGCAAAAAATAAGAAACCCTTGCAGCTGCTGAGTACAGGGTTGCATCAAGTTCATCGTGTGTGCCTCGTGGGCGAGGCTAGAACATTATTTCCAAGGAGTAATTGGGTGGTTCCGACGAGTTTTCGTATAGCTAGCTCCTCGCTAATGAGGCAAAGCATACATCGGAGCCGGATGTGGTTCCCCGAAAAGATACATAGCTTTACCCAGGCCATGAATAAGATAATGTTGTTATTTGCAATGGCAAATTCCCTGCGAGATAGCTGTTATGGTTGAACCCTTTTAGTTGTACTCACATTCAAAGCGAAAGTTTTCGAAAATTGAGAATAATTTCAAGTCGTGCATTGGGAAGAAAACGAAATGGAAGCATATTTCGTGGATTGTTAGGGATTTGTAGCGTTCAATTCCCATTGGTGTTAGGCTTCAGCGGTACCAACAGATGTCGTTTGTTCCAGATAAGTCCAAAGAGGGTGGCGCACGACCTCAGACCCACGGAGCACCACCAGCCAGCTCGCCCATGTCCGGTGAGTGTCCACCCTCTCACCTTTCTCACCCCCTCTCACCCATCTTACTTTAACCCATCTGGGAGCCGCAGATGGTGGCTAGGTGTACACCGAGCAAACGTGAGTGGGCTCACGAATTACAATTAATAATTATATTATTAGCAATGCGAATGAACCCGTTTCGCGGGCAGGTTTCGTCTTATTAATAGCGTAAGACTCCATAGCTGCAGGAGCAGCGAGCAGCCGGTCCAGTGCACGTACAGTGCAGACGTATTTCAGAATGCGTAGGTTCTTGGCCTGTCGACACGATAAACAGCAGCACCACCATTCTTCAGCGCTGTACTCGTCTGGCACCACCTCTTGTGCCTGTCTTGAATCTTTGCAGCTTTGCCTTACTGCAGTTGCAGTTTGAATCATGTCACGATCGATGCCGCAGGCTCCCACGTGCTTTGAGTCAGGCCAGTTATCTGAAAGCCTCGCCATGAACGAGCACCTCGTCCAGTTATTCGGCTCGGTGGCGATTACACGTCAGTGTTGACTGGGATTCGAGGGCGGGCTGATGACGCAGCCCAGGCTGAAGGCGTCTCAAGCCCCTCACGTTCCACGGAATCACGCCTTTGAATGGGCTGGGCCAGCCGAGTGACGTCACTGGCTACAGCTGGGTCATCCCAATGACGTCACCGTCCAGAGCTGGAGGCGCTGGGTGTCGCGTCTGGTTCGGTCAGGCTTCAGCCGGCGACACCAGCGTCCAGCAGGGCGGGGGGGGGGGGGGGGCAGCTCCATCTCGCACATCCTCCGGGCAAGGCCGCCGAGTGTCGCGCGCCAGCAGCGCCAGAGCCAGCAGCCGTCCGCTGTCTGGGATCGCTTCTCTATCGCGAAGAAGCCGTACGGGCATAGCCCGTCGGACGCGGCTGGGCTGGGACGGGCGCGGCTCGGCTGACCTTCGCCCTGACCTTGGCTCGAGAGTGGGAGCCGTGGTCAGCCCGCAGTGCCGCGGCCGTCGCCGGACGCCCGGCGGGAGAGCGGGCCGCGCCGCCGCCGTCGGTCGAGGCGCGCACCACCGCGGGAGAGCGGGCCGCGCCGCCGCCGTCGGTCGAGGTGCGCACCACCACGGGAGCGCCGGCCGCGCCGCCCTCGCCGGCCGCGTCGTCGCCGTCAGGCCGATCAGCTGACTGCCGGCACCTGGTGAAGGCGCGGGCGGCGGTTACGCGGTCTTCTTATAGGTGCTGGAGTTCTTCGGAGAGGTCTTTAGGACGCGTGTGGTTCGCAGAGGTGGAAGCGGGGATATCAATTTAAACGCCTTGCTCTCGCCAGCCGGCGGTATCGTTTTGTGAACGCTGCCAGAACGGCGTGAGCAAGGTGGGGAACGTCAGAAGTTGAAAACTTCGATTCGCCTTCTGCGTCGAATTCGCGACTGGATTGAAATTCACAATTAGGCTCTGCGTATCGGGCCGAAATGGCTGTAACCAAGAGTGCTGACGTGACCTCGTTATCAGATCTATCGGGAAGATTTAGGTCGATTGGGAGCGCGTTGCAGAACAAGCTCCCCGGTTTTACTACGCCCCGCTCGGTGGGTCTGGTGCAGTGGACATTGCAACTCAGTTGTTTTGCCTCATATTGTGCCCGGGTCACGTTCTTCACTGCAACTTAGCTTGATGACACAATCATTTTTCGAAAGACTCGACCAGAAAATGGTCGCTGTGAGTTGCCTAAGTTTTGCACACAGTGTAGGGGAACGCGCCAATAATTTGGCGCGGGTCGTTCTGACTTGGGCATCCTAAACCAATGCCACAACTTTGGATTTGATGACGCTCACAGATCACGTATTTGGTAACGATGAGGGAATTTATTGCAATTTGTTAGAGACCACATTCAGCAGTTCTGATCAAAAGCTTATGCAATTTCTGCTCTCAAGTTAAAATCATGCCTTCAGCAAAGCATTGATCGCAACGCTCTAAAGCCCGTCACATTTCAACTTGAATGTGGCTGCCGTAAATAAACGATTGGGTAGGACAAGGACGTACACATTTTGCTGATGTTCGCGCACCCGAAGCACGTGCCGACACCCAACACCACCCCAGTGAATCCCCCCTGAAAGACCGTTTCTTCTCCATTTCAGATCCACGCGGCGTGTTCTACGGCGCGTCACCCATGTTCTCCTCGGCGACATAGATCAGACTTCAGTGACCCGCCGCGCCGCTGCCGAAGCCGGGCCGGGCCGGGCCGGAGTCGCCCCGCATTGCCCGTGACCTCTGCGCCCGCGCCGTGACCTTGCCACGGGGTCACGACCCAGAACCGACCCGGCGCCCGCGGGCACGGACCGCCGCCGCCGGGCCGCGGCGCACAGCACTGTATCTTAACTCTAGTCTTAATGACAATGTCACAGGGAGCCCATGGACCCACCCACTTCCCATCTTCGCCACAGCACTACTGGAGGACGCCGCCAGCGGACGGCCGCCGTGTAAATACCAGCGCCCCAGGTGACGAGGTCAGGGGTCGACAGCCGCCGCGCGGTGGGAATGTTATTCAACGTACTTAGCCTCTACGAGCGTGGTTACGTGTTAGTCAAGTGTGGGTGTTTCTCTTCTTATGTGTTCGTATGGCCTATGTAGGTGTGTGCACACGTTTAGTATTGATCTCATACTTTGTAAATACGGCCAGCCACCCGAGCCTTGAGTACCGGCGGTCGCATTGGGCTCCGGAGCTCCGACACTGCTCCTCATCGAATGCATTTGCAATACACACGATTGAACATACTGAGCACCAAAATGCACCAAAACGGTCTCACCGACGACCCCATGCGTTACTGTCATGTGTGCAAACGCCCACACTCATAGGCAAGGCCAATAAAGGCGCAAAGTCGCCTTTTGATTTCGTGTCCGTCGGCACCTGACCTTCGTTTACGGGGCTGTTCGCCCCTTTTGCTGTTCACCCCGGCCACGTGCCTATGCCACATTCACCCATCGATGTGAACTTCTTCCCGATGAGACACACAAACACAAGCGTTTGCTACTTCGCACAAGTGGACAAAGGTGTAACAATCCCGTGATTCAGCTGTACCACCATGTAGACTGTTGGCGCACCGACGATGTATGATCCGGCGCATATTGGAGCTATGGTGCAGTTAATTTCGAGACTACGCTTCTGGCGATCCGGACCGATTGCGTGCCGCGGTGTGATGTCGCCATGACAACATGGCAGGGTCATGAAAGGAGGGACGGTGTGTCTTGAGGTTGCGTTCGACCAGCGCGAGATAGTGTCACGAGACATTGCGAGGGTGCGTTCGTCCAGCACGAGATGACGTCACGTGACATTTCGATGCCGGCTGAAGTGCACTGCCGTCTACATTCTGCCGACGGCACACTCGCAACTATTGCGTTTTGTCAGGCCTTTCGTCGATATGGCAGAAAATACCCTGCAGACTGCGGTGTGGCACACCGTGCATCCCCCTATGAGGCTGCAACAGAGCAGGGTTGTCATGAGAGTGCGCCAGGCTCAACCCGGCGTCCGTACGCGGCGGCGGGAGGTCTGTGCCCCCACCCCCTGCAATCTGGTCGACCCCCGGAGCTCTCGGCACCGGCTACCTGTCCAATGGCCGGACTCCGTGGCCACTGACGGGCATTGTTGGTCCGTGGCGGGGTCACCCGTGCGCACCGCGTCACGGCGGCGGCTGGGCCCGCCGTGACGCGCCGGAGTTGTCCGTGACGACCCTGCGCGGTGGCGCGTGCGAGCGTGCGTGCATGCGTGCGTGTTTGTGTGTGTTTGTGTGTGTGTCTGTGTGTGTGCACACAGGCACCGTGCGCAGATGTGGTGTGGAACACTGTCCCTGACGTCACCAACGGAACACTCGCATCAGCTCTCACGTCTCGTATATCCTCAACGGCGGCCATCCCCGTGTGTCAACGATGGTAACAACGCGCCGCTGCATGGCGAACTAAGGCGCGTCACTCATACGGCAGGGTTCCTACGCCGTTTCCGCTGCCGTCAGACTCCCGGAAGGAGCACTGTGCTCGTGTGCCCCCTCCCCCCCCCCCCGCATGACGACGGTCAGTGCCGACAGTGGGCTTGCACAGCCAGGAGGCCCCAGCGGCCGTCGTGTAACATGTGCTTACTGTACAAAGTTTTCGTTCACTTTGTTTCAGGGATGTTGTACACTTGTCTGTGCCAAAGTAACGGTTTCGTAGATATGTATATGTAATAGATGTTACGGAAGTACTGTGTAAATACATTTTGGCCCGTTCACGGTCGCGTTTGGCGTGCTGCTCTGCTAAAGCCAACGCGGCCACGGAGCGCCGAGGGTGCTGGACGGACCAGTAATGAAGCTCGACAGTGAGAACGAGAAGCATGACGTATTCAGGTCCGACTAGCTGTCTGGATGACCACAACATCGCCTTGGGTGCTAGAAGTCACGAAAGTTTTTTTCAGTTGGGAGTTGAAACTCGGATGGAAATGTCACCAGCTCGCACGTTGCTGAAGCTGAATATTTCACTTCACAGAAACCACGAGCCGGCAAGGAAAGCTTTTCAATTGCTTTGGACCCTAATATGTGCATTTAAGGAATCGAAAATACACGGTATAGCTAGCAGGCTTTGCGACACGGCGTACCGTCTTAAACCAGCACCTATAACTCAGTAGTATACAATTACTTATCTCTAACAGGAAATTATGATACAATTAATTATCATTAATATATATATATATATATATATATATATATATATATATATATATATATATATATATATATATATATCCCTTTCTCTCTCTCTCTCTCTCTCTCTCTCTCTCTCTCATCTCTCTCTCTATCTCTCTCTCTCTCTCTCTCTCTCTCTCTCTCTCTCTCTCTCTCTCTCTCTCTCTCTCTCTCTCTCTCTCTCTCTCTCTCTCTCTCTCTCTCCTCTCTCTCCCTCTCTCTCTCTCTCTCTCTCTCTCTCTCTCTCTCTCTCTCTCTCTCTCTTCTCTCCTCTCTCTCTCATTAATTATGATACTTCGGGGCCAATGGATGCCGCACACGTCTGGCTGGGTGCGATGGAGGTGGTACAGTGTCGGTGGTAAAGGCGCGGAGAAGCGACTCAGTGCCGTCACACAGTGCTTTCATGTGTTCCCGTGCGGTCACGTACACTCCAAAAACATACCACCGCGTCCTAGTCAGAAGGACGCTGACTTTACATCTAACGTGTCGCTGACGGGGCCACATGACATCCGCCATGACCTCCCCTCACTCACTGGCTGGGTCACCGCGGCTGCATGCTCGCACACCTCAGACTCGGCAGGCCGACACCGGCCAGGGTCCGGTCGACCACCGGCCAGCCGCTGGCAGCCGCTCATTCTGCTGAAGCCGCACGGCCTCTCGTGCCCAGCGTTGAGCCGCCCGCCGCGGCGGGCGCTGGTGTTACTCGGCCTCCCAAGCGTTGGCTCGGCGCCCGGTCAAGCCGGCCGGGGTGGCCGGCGCCCCTGACTGCGCGAGGCGAGGCGAGCGCTGACAAACCGGGGCCCGGTTCACACCTCGCCGTGCCGGTCCAAACATTTGTAACCTCGCGGCGGGGGAGGCGACCTGGCGCCGACTGCCGGGCCTCTCATTAATTATGAAAATGCGGCCGGCTTCGATCCGCCGGGCGGCGCGGGCGGCTGGGCCGAGAGCCGTGCACAAAGTCGCGCCGCGCCCCGCAGCCGCGAATCGGCGTTCGATGGCCGAAGGAGCGACAGCCGCTCAGATGAAGAATTAAACGGCGCTGGCATTTAATGACTGTTGTCGGCGCGCGATGCGGATCCATTAAGCATGCCAATGTACTTTTTAATTTTATTTACACTCCGCTGAGTCGAAAACAATGCGGGATGGTGTGACCGCACCGCCGACACTCGCAAACCACCGGCGAGAGGCCGACGTCTGCACGGCGAGAGACGGCCGCCGCCAGCGAGCGCAAGGCGCCAGGGCACGCGGAGGGAAGCGGTGGAGTCAGTGAGGTGAAGGTCGCGAGGATGTGATGGAGACGTGGCGGGTCAGCACATGGAGGTGGGGAGGTTGTGAATGGGACGTGGTGAGGCGCTGGGAGGAAGGCTGTGGGGTAGCGAAAAGCATGCTTTTGGGTAGTACTCGAAATACGCGGCGTAATAGTACGATGCAGGTGGTAGCTGGCCACCTCTCCGAAGACCCACTGCAGCCCTAGGAGCTAATAGATGGAAAGAAGCACCCGGTGCCGTCCCGTGACTACCTGGAAGTTCCAGGAGCCATCCAAGATAGCCACGAAACGGGCGGCAGCTCCGAGATGACAAATAGCAGCCTCTCTCCCGAGATGGCCAGGAATCCCCAACAGGTCGGGAACAATCCCGGGTTTCTCACACGATTGTACGATCGCTGGGCAGTAGAGGCAGTCAGAAAACATCAAGCAAGCGTGCGTGTAGGCATATGTAAGCCATCCGTACCATGTTCAGTGGGAGTCCCCAGCGACGCTTTCTCACTGGCTTAGCATGTAGTGTTGCCGCCGAAGTAACGCAGAAGAACCAACGCAGAAGCGGCAATATTTAAAACGTTTGGGAGTTCTTGGGCTTAAAATTGCTTTTTGAATCAGAACTGTCTTCGTCTTCCAGAAAGATGTGCTGAGCGGAGGTGTGTTCAAGATCTCGCCATTGTGACATGATATCTCATTGTTCATAGAATTAACGTGAGCGCTGAACGTGCGTGAGACTTCTGGCATACCGAAAACCAACATTACACCACACATTTTTGTTGTACAGTAACTTCTACCCGATTACCGCCGACTTTTGTTTTTTTAATATATATCCCGCCGTTGAATACGCTCCTGACCACAACGACGTTTGTTTGGTTGTCTTTGCACTAGTGCAACCACTTCTTTTAAGCATTGAGGTACCGAAAATAATTTTTGATCTCCGTACCTCGACAGCACCATCATTTTCTAATGGTTCATTGGCTTCATTACGTTGTATATATATATATATATATATATATATATATATATATATATATATATATATATATACATCACATGCATATAAATATGCATCACAAAAACATGACAACAATTTCTGAAACACCTGACTTTATCCAAGGACAGTGCTACTTCAGGATATGAGGGTAATTACAGCAATAGTTCAAAATATGACAGAAGCTATACCTGTATCGTTCCGGAAAAGCCAGCCGGACAAAGTGTCGTATGGCGGTAATAGTTTCGTTGTTCTGTTTCTGTTCAGCTAAAAAGATGTGTTTGGAAATCAAATTTTGTCTGGTTCCGGGAAAAATAAGTGTAATTTTTTTTTGATGCGTCCGCTCTCCTTAACACGACTCCATTAAACCATATAGAAGCTCAGGCGACCAGAGAGCATGGATCCGTCGGGTTTCGTATATGGCCTGCCAGGTGGCAACGATTCATTAGGTGCCTGCAAATGCCGAGATCGGCTTGGAGCTCTTTGTAGGATATGCCCCTTAGGAATTCACCTATAGAGGCTGAAGAGGTCCAAAAAGGCTTAGTGATTCTGGGAGCGGGAGTCGTCGCGGACAGCCACGACGTTGCGGAGCCAGACGTTACTGGCCCTGTTTCGGGCATATAACATTTTGAGTATTTGTCCAAGCACGATAGATCTGGCAAGCGGTCACCTGGGGTCAGGTGGCTACAGATATTTTAATATCCTTGAGGAAAGGATAGCTGCGTAGGCGGCTGCGTCCAGGATATTACAGCAATAGCTTTGCTGCGGCACGGTGCGGGATAGCAGACCTGACCAGAAACAGGCCGAAATTACGGGAGACATTGATGACAAAACAACACTTAGTCACACGATGTTTTATTCAAATTCGCGCTAGTGCCCAAATGACTGCTATCAACGAAATAACTGCCGGTCCGAATCCACGTGAACTGCGCCCTTCTTGCTCAGCTCCGGCTTGACTTGGGTTCTATTTTGACTCGCCGACTGCTGCGATCATATCATCGGAGCTCAGGAAGCCACCAGCCCCGTTCCCAACATCATCTGCTGTTCTCAGCGCGTCTAGCGAACTCGAGCGCCCAGATTCCACCGTGTTTAGATCTGGACCACGTATCGGAGAGAAACACATCATAATTAAGGGTGCATCAATTAATGTAAGGAATAAAGGTCTTGAGCTCCTGCTTAGGTCAACATTATAAGTTAATGTTCTCATGCGAACGATAGTGACCCTTTAGGATGTCAGAAGGCACTGGCTACACTACGATATCAGGCGTTGGTTATATTGTCAAAATCGGCGTCTTAGGCTATGCTCACAGTTATAGATGTCCATGAGCAAAGCTTGGTCACAAGTATAAAGACGGCAGCAGTCGATGCCCCCTAAAACCCCAAATCTTCATCATCATCACAAGTATAAAGACGCTCCATGCTGTGCTCGTGGCTAGTTATGATTAAGCTGTGCTCATGGTCACTCACGATCATAAGTACAGCTTTAAACGTCGGATTTGGAAAATGCAACCGATGTCTGTAAGTTGTTAAGTGCATTTGCGAGGAGCGTTATGCATATAAACGAGACAGTATTGATAGCCTTTTTCCTCCCAGAA